TTAATTAAATAATTGATTCAGGTCACAAAACCTGAATGAAATGTTCCCAAATACATTTATCTGGTTCATTTGTTGATAAACTATTCCTTTAAGAGTTAATTTAGTTCCTCAAACAACACTCATGGTAACTATTTCATAACATCTCCCCTCACCTCAGATTGTACTCGGCATCCAGTGTGACCTTCAGAAGCACTTGAAAAACTTCATTTCATTGGATCGCCTCCCCATGACGCCAGCCAATGGGAAAATCGGAGGTCGCCAAGGCCGCAGGCCAATTTTCTCCGCCCTTTCTTCGATCTTTGGCAAAGGTGTAAAATTCGCCATCTGTGATGGAGTGGTGGCGACTGAGATAATCGGCGTGGCGAGCGAGGACAGCCGTCGCGTGGCGGCCGTACTGAATGGTGCTATATACCTGCGTGGCCTCCATTTCACCGTGGAGGGGCGGGACACACACTATTTCACCAAGTTCGGCCCGCTGGAGGCAGATCTGGGAGTGGCCGGGGGCGGAGCCGGAGGCGGAGTCAGAGTGTTAGAGAACGGCGTAAACGTCTCTGTGTCCCAGATAAGTGCTATGGTAGGAGGGGAAATGCGGCGATTCGCTGACATTGTGCTCCAGCAGGGGGCGCTTAGCTTTAACATTCGTTACGGAGCAACTCCGGAAGAAGAGCGTACGCGCGTTCTAGAGGCGGCACGAATACGAGCTGTGCAGGGGGCGTGGCTGTGGGAGCAGAAGAGGGTCCTGGAGGGGGAAGGCGGAAGTTTGCCATGGACTGAGAAAGAAAAGGATGAGCTGGTTGCAGAGGGCCGTGTCTCAGGGTACGATGGGTTCTACGCTCTACCTGTTGAACAACACCCTGAGCTAGCAGACAGCCCCTTCAACATTCACCTGATCAGACATGTGGAAACTGGTCGCAGGTAACAGCGGCACCTCAGCACACCTCTACATGCCTACACGCCCCTTTATACACTCCAAGCTACCACATATCTCTTCAGCTTTTTCTAGAACCCCAACCAAACGAAGCGAGAAAGACTCTATTGCCTTTCAAATGTGACAAATGATGGTATTGTTTTTGATTTTGCATTCGTTTATGCACTCTTGGCAAGTTCGGATTCCTGTTTTTTCGGTTTCGTTAGGTAGATTTTGTTGAAAGTCTTTCTTGTTTTACAGTGGCTTAACCGTTCTTACACAAGAACAAGCCTTGCTTGCCAATCGGAGGGCGCAGAGAACGATTCACCTGTGACTGTTCTTGGCATACATTAAGGAGTCTTCATCTCTACACATGCTGATTCTCTCACTTGAGCGTGTACAGTTATCATTCAAACTGGTTATGGCATTAAATCTTGCAAACCTGAGGGGTTTCCTTGTGAGCTCTGTGTTAAACGTTTCTCTCTAAATTTTCAGTCGATCTGCATTCCAGGATTTACATAGATGGCTTTCAGAGCCCTCGGAAGTTTGAATGACCTTCCAGAAACCAGGCATTTCAGCGGAGCTCTAAGAACTGTCATATCGCAACAGCTTTCTGGAGTCCTTGAGAAGTATCTGACTCAAAACTGTCACAAACCTTAACCCCTGGGCTGCAAGAGATTCACAGTGTTTGGAGTCTTGGCAAGAGCTCGCCACCATCTTGTGTTGTTTCTGCTTAATCAGTGTTGACGAAGCTGAGAGAATTACGCCGCTGCTGTGGAAGACAAATTTGTTCTTTTTTGCTAAAACTGTACAGTTAAACTCTTTTTTTTTTTTTTTCAAATGTAGAAATCAAAAGAATATTATGTATGTGGAAATTGTGCCTTCCTGGTCTGCTAGAAACGATCACACGAAACGGGCTTAGACATATCGTACATACTCAACTTCAGTATTCGTCACATGCCTTAGTTGTATGCAATTATTATTATTTTTATTTTTTTGTTATTTATTTATTTATTTATTTATTTTTGGCGGGGAGGGGTTTGGCTAGCGGGAGCCAAAAACATGAATGCTAATATGCCTGCGAGGTGAATTCTTGTAAACAGACCCCAGGATATAAACATGTCCCAGTTTACAGTTAATATGCTGCTCTTTTTTATTTGTTCTCATGTGATTTCACTCTTTTCTGTTGCTTTCGCTTTTGCTGTACACTTAATGTGAAACTCACATCACGTGTTGGTCATTTCGGTTTCTAAACGAGTGTCAAAGCTCCAACGTTTTGGATTTTTCCAGTACTTTGACAGGTCCTTTTGCTTTTTTCTGATCCCTCTCGAAACTAGTTGGAGGCCTGAGGAGGAAGATACGTAGGGAAATGAAAGAATCACCTACTGAAGAACAGTATTTTTGTCTTTTCCAAAATATTAAAGTCTGCAGCACTGTGGGTAGACGTTCTGTGTGTAGGACTCTTGATATGGACTTGTATATCATTAATGGACTATTGTAGACTGTTTATAGATACTGGACTATTTATACATCACACTCAAGAGAATTAGGAGTAAATGTATTTTCTTGTGAATTCTGTGGATATGCTGTACCATCAAGCTTTGTAATCTTAATCTGAGATATATATTTGCACTGAATATAAGGTGAAGAGATAAATGCATTAGACTGAATTTTTAGAGTGTGCAAATATGAACAGATTCGTGTGAGAGGTGCTCTGAAGGCACGTTACGTTTCCAACATTTTGCAGATGTTCATTTCAATCGAAGTATGATAATGTTGCACAAAGAAAAAAATTGTGGCGGAAATATTTTTCTTTTGGTCTTAGTTTGCATCTTTGTCATAATCACAATCATTGCTGAAGTGAAAAAGGAATATGTAACTTTTTTCCCGTGATCGAATCATCTTCCTCTCTCAAAAGTACTAAAAAACTTCAGTGTCCTCTCCTTGGCCAAACAAGTTCCTGTGGTGTATATTTGGCGGATAGGCTTTATGTACACAGTTTGTTAAACATGCCTATTTAAAAACAAAAGTACTTTGGGCAGTGGCCTTTTTATAAATAAAACCGCAAATGTAACCCGTTCTTCTGTGTGCGAGAGTATTTGCGCAAGGACGGCTGAAGCACTTGTGTGATTTCCTTTATATGCATTATCTGCACCTTTTTTTCCTCTCGTTTGTTTCTCAAACCGGCAGAGCTTTCAAACACTGAAGAAATCATTTTTTATATCAGTTTACAGAATCATAAAGCATTCTTCTGCTAATATTTTTGGGAAGAAAAAGTATATTATGCATATTATTTTGTTGGTTATATTTTTAACATCAAAAGGGCTCTAAATTTCCTTACACGCAAGACCAATTTGTTTTTAACATTAATGTGATGGTATTATTGCAGGAATTGTGACGCTCAATGAAGTTTAATGAGAAAATGTGAGCACAAAACAGTTGTTTCCTGTTTTACAAAACAAGTAAAAAAGTCTAAAACAAGTTCTACACAGAAACACTTGGTTAGCAAACCCTCATTACTAGACTGAAAACAAGAGAGCAATCAAGCTAAGAAAAGATTTGACATTTAGTTCAAGGCCTACTTCTCTCATGGGTTCATTGTCTCTGTAGTGATCTGTAACTGGCTGTATCTGCGTTGCTGATACTATCTGAGGTGAGGATTACCAAATGTATAGCCAACATGAGATTATTCATGAACAAAAATAAATTGAAGGAAAAATCGAAAATTAAAGTCTACATAAAAATTTAAGTATACAGTGTGTAATGTAACAGGGGGTGGCCAATTATTTAAAGTGCCCCTATTAATGGATTTTTGAAAATTACTCTTCATGCAGTGTGTAACAGCTCTAAAGTGAATGAAAACATCCTGCAAAATTTAAAATCTGAAAGTGCACCGTGTATAAAGTTATTGTCTCTCAAAAGAGTCGACTCTGAATCACTGAAACGAGTCGTTTTTAAAACGAATTCCAGGCCGTTTCATGTTGATGTCAACATGAAACATTAGCATATTGCCCGCCCACTTGTTGGTCTTTTCCGTTGGTTTGAATGAAAATGCTAATTCATTCTTGGCCACTAGGTGCAGTTGTTGGAGCGTAAAAAATAGCTGTTTCCCCGGTAACGCTGTAAACAAAGCAGCACTGCGCTAACAAACGCTGCTTTATCAGGCATCACAGGCATGATGAAATGAAAATGAGACCAATCGGACCAATCACCGCAGATTAGCTTCATGCAAAGGAGGGGTTTGGAAAAACGAATCGTTTGGGAGTCATTGAGCAAGTAAGGTAAAAATAAATGCATATTATATAAGACAATGAAAGTGTTTTTTGACCTTGCACACGTCAACCTGTTGTTGGGGACTCCCAAAACCAAAATATGAACCTTTTATTACCCATAATAGGGGCACTTTAATATATACTAGATTATTTGCAGCTACTTCTGTATTCATTTGATTATAAATGTAGCAGCCATATTGCTTAAATATACTTTTCAACATTTTTACAGCATTTACTACATTTCCACAATTTACCCGCTTGGGTTAAAGGGTTAGTTCACCCAAAAATAAAAATTAGGCTGTGTTTTACTCACCCCCGATGCATCCTAGGTGTATATGACTTTCTTCTTTCAGACAAATCCAGTCGGAGTTATATTAAAAATTGTCTTTGATCTTTCAAGCTCTATCGTTGTACTCAGCGGGTGTTGCATTCCTTCAGTTCAAATGACGTGAAATAAAAAGCACCTTTCCACAAAAAAAAGTCTCTCACACGGCTCCGGGGGGTGAACAAAGACCTCCTGTAGCGAATCGATGCGTTCTTGTAAGAAAAATATCCATATTCAAAACATAATAATCACTTGAATCTAGCTTGCCGCACACCCACATAACACATGCTTGACTGTGCCCATTCACATCTCAGCTCTCTGGGATGCAGTGAAGTGGGTCAGTTTGCTGGAGTGCAGATATGTCACTCTCAGCGTGCAGTTTCGCCATGGCTCTTTGGATAGAGTGGATTAAATTAATTGAATATAAGCAGATCAAGCCAGTCAGCCTAATTTTTATTTTTGGCTGAACTAACCCTTTAAGAGACCCCAGAGAAGATACTCTTGCGCACATTTACAGCATGTAGAAACTGTTCTAATGTATTTGTTTTGGCTTGTGTGTTATTATTTAGCTCTGTTTACAGGATACAAAAGAGGAACAGAGATGCCTTGGTCTGGAAACTTGAAGGCAGCAATAAGGTTGCCGACGTTCCTAAAGAGCCTTTCCTTCATCCCAGGAGCCACCTGGAGAGAGAGAGAAAAGAATTTCTCAAAAACATTCTTCCTAAACTCTTAAAAGTTAAGGCATATCGTTTTTTTTGTTTTTTTTTTAAGTGTACAATTTAATAGTGATTATAATGATGGCGTAAAATGAACACGCTTGTGGTGCTTCCATTTCTGTTGAGTCAGTGTAATCTTTTCTTTTTATATATATATTTGTGTGGTATTTTGCTCGTGTGGCTGATGCTGATCAGTTACAGGAAGCACAATGAAGGCAGATAAAATGAAGAAAATGTAAAGCTTATCCACAAGCAATACCTGTTTAAAACAGGGTTTAAAGAGGCCATTCTAATGTTATAAGAAGCTTGATCATTAATTAGAGTGGATGATTGGATTTCAGTCTAAACTGTTTTGGGTTATGAACCAAAATGCAAATGTTTCTCAGCATCTGGGGGGGGGGGGGTTTAAAAGTTTCAACTTTTTCAATTTTCTT